GGGGGGGGGGGGGTCGGTTAGTGGAAATGGGGAAAGGACTGGGTTAATATATCTTCAAAATGGCTTCTTGGGGTTCCAGAAAGGCCAAGGAACACTAAGTGTGGACAGTACTTGAAATGACTGGAGGGGAAAGGCTGGAGCTGAGAAGGGGTATAGATTTAGGTTAGCTGAGTTTAGGGGAGTTCAGGAAGGCCTTGGGGGATTACCTGTGGGGTAGCTGATTCAGAGGAATCCCCAAGGTCAGTCAGTCGGTAGTGCAGGTCATCCCAGCGGCCATAGGCGAGATCCAGACCTCCCAAGAAGGCCACGACTTGGTCCACCACCAGGAGCTTCTCATGATGGGCCCACAATGTCACATGGTCTGGGTGGCGCATCACCTGGAGCAGGTATGGAGAAGTTCATGAGGGTGGGCTTAGGTGAGAGAAAGACAAGAGAGAAATGGAAAGATAGAAGGATAAGACATTTAAGGAAAGGGAGGATCCAGAGGAGTGAGTCACCTTTATGTTGGGGTGCAGCAGCACCAGAGCCCTCTTGCTATAGCCACTGTTGATGCTCAAGGCCAACTCCACTTCCTTAAACAGTAGTACGGACACACGGACACCCTCCTCCTGGTGGTGCACAGGGTATCCAATCCTAATGCCGCTCTCAGAATGGCCCCTTCCCACCTTCCCAAACTCTTCCCCTTGCTCAGGATCCCTGGATGTGCCTCCGCCCAGCCTGGAGATCCTCGGTGCTCTGCCGCTTACACCCTGCTTTGATGCTTGGCTGAGCAGTCCACTCACTCATCCACCAACATATCTACCCACCTACCAACCATTATCTATCCATCCATCCTCCCAACCATTTACTCATCCCCTTATCTAATGTCTATCATTCACCCAACCGCCGACTGATCCACCTTTCCAAACCCATACCCTTCCATATTTCTCCCTTCCCATCATTTACCCATCCATTCACCCACCCACTCTCCATCATCCACGTATCTTTCCTCCTGTCCATCAACATCTATGGATGCCTCCACCATGGCAGACACTGTGCCTTGTACTGGAACTAGTGATATTAATCAGTCCAGTGAGAGATAGACACGCGCACCCCCAGGTAACACAATAAAGTGCAATGGGCACTGGGAGGGAAGTCTTACCAGGTAGAGGAGGGGCATGAAGAGGGAGGTGCCAGTTCTCCTTAGGAAAGAGGAGCAGGTGGTATTTGCCAGACACTGAGCCAGGATGGGCACATTTCCTCTCCTTGAAGCCTCAGATTCCTATGTTCCTTCATGTTTCTGTCCTTTCTAACCAACCCCCACCACACCTCCCCTCCAGCCTGACAACTCTCCTCACCGCCTTCTTCTTGAGCATAATGTCCAGTCTCCAGTCATCTGAATGGGCTGGACGCTTCAGATAAATCTCAGGGCTCAACCTGGGATTCAGGGCGGGGGTTGAGGAGGGTAAGCTAAGCCCCAGATAACCAGCCACTCCCCCTTTTCCGCTTCCTCCTGTGACCTATGAAATAGGCCCTACCCCACCCCTTCTTGCTTGGGCTTTTCCCCCACTTACCACCAGTCTGTGATGAAAATCTCCTCTTGAGCTTGCAGGATGGCATCTGCCACAGCAGCAAAGTAACCTGCCCCATTCACAAACCTGGGGGGAGGCCAAGCCAAGGAGGTCAGGGGAGTCAGAAGCCAGAAAGCTCTGGAGAGTGAAGACCAGAGGATAGCCATGGGTCAGGGGTGAGAGTGGGGTCAAAGATCAAGAGTAATCAGAGAGGTCAGATGGTATCAGATATATCAAAGTGGGATAATTTGCCAGTATGAGCTAAATAAAATTTAAAAAGACAAAAAACTGAAGAAAATGACTTAAAGGACTTCCAACCAATCATATAAGCCAACTGCAAAGTGAACAAAGAATAAGAACTGACAGCTCACAGAGGAAATTAAAATGGTCAATCATAAGAAAAGATGTTCAATTTCACGTGTAAACAAGAAAACTGATATAAAATAACATTTTTTAATTCACTAGATTGGCAAAAGTTAAAATCATTGGTAACATTCAATGTTAGCATATGAGGAAGTGAGTATTCTCATAGACTATGGGTACATTGGTTATAACCTTTTCAGATGGCAATTTGGCAGCATCTATCAGAATATTAAATGTATATACCCCTTAATACCATTAAATGCACATAGTAATTCTATTTCTAAGATATAGTCTATTAAATGCTTATGCAAAGATTATGTTCATTGCAGTGTTATTTGTAAGAGTGAAAAATGGGGGCAGGGGGGAAAAAATGGGAAAAAACCTAAACACCAAAATCTGTAATACATGTATTAAGTGAAAAAATGTCACAGAAGACAGTACATGATCTCATTTATGTTAAAACAAAAGGTGACATATATGCATAAGAATATGAAAATAAGCAGGAAAAAATCTGGGAAGATAAATTTCAAATTATTGCCGGGGTTACTTCTGAGGTGAGAAAAGGGACTGTTGGGAGGGAGTGTGGGGAAGAAGTAAGGACAGGGGGATAAAGGAAATAAAGGATTGTGCATTGAGAGGGAACTTTAAATTTTTAATGTGTTTGACTTTTTAATAACATTCTAGTATTATGGTTAAGAGCAGGGTCTTAACCCAGCCTGCCTGGGTTTGAATCTTGGTTCCACTACTTACAAGGTGTGTGACCCTGGGCAAGTTACCTAACTTCTCCTTGCCTCAGTTTTCTCATCTGTAAAATGGAGACCACTATACTTGCCTTGTTGTGAAGATTCAATAAGCTAACACATATAAAACACTTAGAAGAGTTCCTGGTACATAGTAAGTGCTACATAAGTATTAGCCATTATTATTACTTTTTAAAAAATATGTCTTTATTGATTGATTTCAGAGAGAGGGAGGGAGAGAGATAGAAACATCCATGATGAGAGAGTCATTGATCGGCTGCCTCCTGTACACCTGCTACTGGGGATCGAGCCCGCAGCCTGGGCATGTGCCCTGACAGGGAATCAAACCGTGATCTCCTGGATCATAGGTCAATGCTCAACCGCTGAGCCACACAGGCCGGGCATTATTATTATTCTTATGTTGAAAACAAATCTCAGCACCACCTTCCATGCCTCCCCGCTGCCTATCATAAAGGTCAACCTCTTCAGCTTAGTATGCAGCGACAGGTCAAGGGCTGCCGACTCCCAGTCCTGACATTCCCACACTGGGGCAGACTACTCCTCTGTGCTAGTACCCTGAATCTACCAGCTCGGTGAGCTTCCTCCCATTGTCTCATGATTGAATCACCTACTGCACTGTCTTATTCCTGTCACTGGACACGGCATATAGTAGTGCTTAGGAAATGTTTATAAATAAAACGAATGAATCAGAGAGATTTGAAGAGAACACAGAGGACAGAGAGTCTGGTCAGTGTAGTAAAAAGGGGTTTATAAGATCATAGGAGGTCAGATTGTTCAGGGGTCAGAACAGATTACCAAGTTTAAGGGTGAGAAATACCAGAGAAAAATCAGAGAGATCAGTGTGGTTAAAGAGGCCAGGGGGACAGGGAGATTCGAGAAGTCAAAGGAGGAGATTATTGAGGTCAGAGGAGATAAAAGAGGATCCAGGACTCAGGGAACAGAAAGGGGGTCGAGAAGGCGACAAACAAGCTCAGAAGCGACATCAGTGTCTTACCACCGTGCCAAAGTCCCAGGCCGGGGCGGAGCATAGCTGTCATGCCGGTGCAGCTGCAGGAAGTCTCTGCCCAGGCCCTGGGCCAGCTCAGTGATTTCCTGGCCCCACCACCGTGCCTGCCGGTAGCTGCTGCACTTGAGAATCAGGGACCTGGACAGGAATAATGAGATGGGCTACAGTCCTCACCCTCAGTACCTCTGGCCTGGCCCAGAAACCTCCCCACTTTAGCTATCATCTCTTTCCCACTTCCTCCCTTAGTCCCTAAATCACAACTCCATAGGGACAGGGCATATATCTGCCTTATTCACAGTTGGGTTCCTAGCACCCATATTGTGCAGGCACTAAGGTTTCTTAAAAGAATAAATGAAGGAATGGAGTACATTTCTTTTACATCAAGAGTCCTTCCCCAAGCTTCTACTCAGCCCCCTTTCTCTGGGCCCAGACTCTAAGAGCAGTCCCAACCATCTGGCTAGAACAGTTCCCTGGTTCCAAATCAAGGCCGGCTCCAGAGGCATGGAAATGCCTTCCCTTCTTCCATGGGCTCTTCCACAAAACTCCCCTCAGGGCCTTTGGCTGGCTATTTACTCATCAGGTGTCCACACCAGGGAGGTCTTACCTGTGGGAGGTGTCGATCCGGACCCCGTACCGTGTCTCTGTGCTCCTCTTCCCCACCTGCACGCCAAAGCCAGGGTCGAAGAGCTGAACAAATGAGATGGTGCCTGTCTCGATGCACATGTACAGCAGGAAGGAATCCTTCACCACCAGCCACCTGGAAAGAAGGGCTCTGTCTGTTCCTCTCTGCCCTTGGGATCTCCTTCCTCATGCCCGCCCAAGGCCCAGCTCCCACACCCCAGGCCTCACCTCTTGGACCAGCGATAGCAAACTTGGTCTCGGCCACAGCAGTTAAGGCCAGGAACACGGTGGCCCCCAGAGCGCTTCCGGATCACCCCTTCCCTGTGGGAGAAAACAGGAAGAGATGCTGGGTGGGGAATCCAGACCCCAGCCCACCCTTCACTGCGTCCCCCATTCTCAGGCAGTGAGAGATTCAGACCTTTTACAAGTGGCAGGATGAAGGATGTCAGACACTTACAGTCCTTTAGATCCAAGCTCTGGGATAAAGGACAGCTGACTGACTTCCAGGAACTCTGTCTGCAGAAGAAACAAAGGCTCAGAGGACAGACTCTGGCTTTCAGCCCCTCAGACCCTACTGACCGCTGTCCTCTGCCCCTTGGGTGGTCTGATTATCCTGCTCCACCTAAGAAGAACCAGGCATCCAGACCCTGAGCCTTACCATGGCGTGGTAGTTGCGGTAGAAAGACATGGTCAGGAGGCGATTGAGGTAATTCTCCAAGTATTTCTGAAATAGAAATGGGAGAAGAGACAGGTGGAATCGGAGCCATTTGCACACCAATGCCTTCCCAGAGGACCTGGTGTGTGGTCGCACCTGTTTGCTGGATGCATGTCTGGTGGAGCCCTCAGGACCTGCTCGGGGTAGGGACGGTATCTCTCTGTCGGCTGCCTCCCGGGCTGGAGGATAGGGAATAGCAAAGCTGTGGAAGGAACGGGGTGAAGGTCAAGTAAGAGCTGGGAGGCCGAGTGCCTGGAATCCCGAAGCACTGGACATGGAGCCTTGGAGAAAGAAGGGCACCTAAGGGGCTGGCAGAGGGAAGGCCCCCTATGCTGAGAATGGAGATAAGAAATGGAGGAGGCTGCCAAGGACATTTTGGGCATCCAGCCTGGCTAAGATACTGGCACAGAACCATGGACAGAGAGAGCTGAGCAGGGAAGGTTTCCTGGTAACCAGGGTCAGGGGAGCAAGCTTGGTGGCCAGAGTTAGAAGGGAGGCAAGTCCTTGGGGGAGGAGAGGTTGGGGTCTGGGGGTGAGACAGGCAGAAAGGAATGATGGGGGCTGGGGCAGTGACAGCTCATGTTGCCACAGGGTGAGGTGCACCTGCCCTTCCCAGGAAGCAGTCTGGTGCCCTCACCGAGCCAGAGGAAGCAGACTCATCAAGACTTTGTGTCTCAGGAGGTCCCGATGTAGCTCCTGGAAATGACGGAACTTCTTCTTGGTTGTCCAGGTAAAGTCGCCATGAGTCAAGCGGACAGAATACAGAGTGCAGGTGCCCACCTGGGGGTGTGAGGAACTGAATGGATGTTCCCTGGTTGGGTTGCAACCCCCAACTCTGGCCAGTGCTCCTTTAACCCTCCCTCCCCCACCCCCTTTGGTCCCAACCCAGCTACCTTGGATCCACTGGTATATCTTTCAGTGCCCACCACCTGGGCCGTGACAGGAACCCCAGGGGCAAATACCAAGGGGTGCATTTTCAGAGGCTGAAGGTCATAGATGGCCAGAAAGGGGTGCATCCGGTCAGCTAGGAGGAAAGAAAGTGGAAGAGTGTAGACTCCAGGAGGTCTCAGCCTCTCCTCCTCTCCCTGAGAGTCATACTCCCTGGGTACCTGGGTCCTCTCCCTCCCTCAGAGTGTCCACCTCATCGGGCTCCATCTGTAACTGGTTGGAGTCCAGGTCGCCCCCAGAAGGGAACAGGCTCTCTGGGCTGGCCGTCATCCTAGGAATATGGGGAAACCTCAGGGAAATGATCTGCCCTGCAGAACTTTGCCCCCTATTCCACCCCAAGGTTCTCCACTTCCCACAGTTCCCCCTCTTCTTACCCACCCACCCAGCTCCCGATAACTCCCAATCTCTCCCATCATCTGCAGAGTCCCTCTAACATCCATCCCCTACCTCGGTCCTTCATCCAGAACCCCCGAATCCCGCCTCCCGTCCCGTAACCAGGGAGCGCTGCCAGGAACACCCAGCCAGGCCCCGATATCTCTGAACTGGGGAGAGCAGAAGCCTGGGAACGGGGCCCCGGGGTCGCCAGGGGCCGGGAGCCGCCGGGACTCAAGCTAGGCCGGGCCAGCTGGCAGCGGGGATCCCTGCGGGAAAGAGGAAGTTACGCGCTCCTCGCCTGGGAGGGAAACCCCAAAATCTGAGTGTGCGGCTGAGTCAGGAGGCCCTGCAGCCCGGGCTCATTCCGGACCCCGCCCGACTTCCTGGGCCCCGGTCG